TTTATAATAAGTATGATGTTTCTTCAGGACATTGATGATCATAGGTCTCCACAATTTCCTGCCCTTTGTAGCTTTTAATAAATTTTTGTCTGTTTTGTTATCTCTCCTAAACCTTGTTCTACCATCCAATCACTCAAGCTTGCTAGGTAGGTTATGTGTTGCTTTCTTTTGTCCCTCTTGCTTTTCATATGTCCCATGAGTATCAAATTTTCCAAGCTTTCTTTCCTCATTATTCACACTAGAAATTTCAACTCTCTCTTGTTGATATTATGTTTAAGTACCCTTTTTGGTTTCCATTTCCTCTAAAACATTGTCATTGCTCACATGTTTGGTTCATGTTATTCTCAGCATCCTTCTGTAGACCTACATTCCTGTTGGTTCAAGTCTCTTTTCCCTCTATGATGAGATAGTCCAGCATTCACTGCCATACACAAGGACTGATATTACATAACAGTTCAGTACTCTTTCCTTTGTTTCAAATGAAATTTTTCTATTTCTTAATACTTTGCTTAGCTTTTGAAAGTCAACTTTCACTATGCCAACACATCTTTGGATATATTTGAATTTCTGCCCTCCGTTAAAACACTTCTCGTATATTTAAATTTTATTTGTAATGCAAAACTTTATTGCTTATTTGGGGAGTAGGAAGATAGTGTAGCAGCAAATGGTGTTCTTATTTTTGTTTTTATCCTTAAATTTTAGTCAATACAATCTCCAAACTTTCTTGGATGTCTGTCTATTTCATCTTGTAATTGTTGAATAGAATCTATTATCTTGTGCCATAAATTTTTCTCCTAAACTTTTTTCGCTCCTCCAATTAAAACAATTTATGGCAATTTATCCTGCACTAAAAAATTTCATCTCAGAATTTCGGACATGCTTGCAAAGTATTCAGGTTAGTGATTAATCTTTTACTTGAAGATTTAATTGATAAAAATTGTCTGAAGTTCCAAAATGAAACTGGAAATGATTAGCATTTGCTTTTTTAAAAATCTGCAACGATTACATTTTGCAAATAAAACTTTATAATTATTACTCACTCGACATTACAGAAATGTCTGCCACGAGACTTTTCACTGATTTTATATCTTAATCATTTTATATTTTTGCATTTGCAAATTGATAGCAATGGTAAACAAAGCTTGAAAGGCACCCAATTAATTTATGTATTTATGTTCCCTCAATATAGTATAACCACACCAGGTTTGTGGTTTTGCAAGATGCCCAGCATTTATTTTTCTGTCTATAGAATCCAAACATGTGTCCTCATCCTTGTGGGTGACAAATTATCTTCTACCCTACAACCCCTTTTCCCACAGACGAAAAGTCACTGCTCTTTCATTACTTCCATAGAAAGGGCTCAGACAAAGTGTTATGTAAGTTCCACTTTAGTAGCTTCTTCCCACAAACTGCTGCTTTGTGGAACTGACTCCTAAGAGGATGTTTCCCTGATCACTACAATCCTGGCCTGTTCAAGTCAAGAGTCAACTGTTATCTTCCCCAAATATCTGCATAAACGGTGCCTCTTATTCTGTAACCCTCTAGCTTGTGTGGCTCATGGGCCTTGTTCAGGGTGAATATCATACACACACACACACACAGGGTGTGATGGATAAATTGTCTAAATTACTCAAAAATGAAAATAATACTGACATCTCATTTTAACAGATATATTTACCAAAATTACACAAAAATATCTTAAAATACAAAAGAGTAAATTTATTCAATAAAATCGCCATTGGCTTCTACCACGACCTCCAGATGACTTTGGAATCTCTTACATCGCTTCTGGACAGTCTCTTTAAGTTGGTGAATGTTGCCATAATCCTTGCTTTCAGTTCATCTTTGGTCTTACAAAGAGTTTTGTTGGTCTCTCACTCAACTGCGCTCCACACATAATAATTAAGAGTGTTGCAGGCTGGGGAGTTAGGTGGTCAGATGTAAGGGGTGATGTGGTGGTAGAAATTGTCTGACAGCCATGACTGGGTTCTCCTGCTTATGTAGCATGGTGCAGAGTCCTGTTGCCAGACTTAGTATATTCCAGCAGCCACCCTCTTGACCCAGGCCAGCACTACCTCCTCACAGCACTTGATGTAGGCTTCCATGTTTAGTCTTGAGGACCTGTGGGAAGATGAATGGGGGTATAATGTGATCACTCGAAACACCTTTGTAATCATCATTAGACTCATCCAACTTTTTCCCAATCCTCTGTACAGTCCTCAGATTGACCCCCAAATACCTTGAAATGTTCATATTGGAGCTTCTGGTGTGAAGGCCAAACAGTACAGCATGCCATTTCCAAATTTCTGGTGGAGTGAACTGCGTCATGGTACTCTTTTTCTTATAGACAGTGCTTAACTGATCCTATTATACTGTGTGATTGACAAAATCAAAAACAACGCACATGCACGAAATTAAATATATTAAATGGCAACAATTTACTTATCGCACCCTGTATGTATATATGTGTGTGTGTATATATATATATATATGTTGTAACCATATCTCCCAAAGTCAAGGAATAATTAGAATAAAAATCAAATGATATTCAACCTTATACTAATAACCTTATTCTAACAGCAATAGCAAAAATATATACACACTAGCTATTGGGAGGCATTTAAGCTAACTCCTGCAAAGGGTACTTGATTGATCCTTCGTCACAATGGGTAGGGAGGAGTAGATACAATAGGCAACAATAAACTACAGAACTCAAAATTGATTGCTGCGTTTAAGTATTGTATCATATTTAAACTTACCTTTTAAAAGTTCAACAATAATTCTTATGCTGCCACTTTATTTAAAGACAATTTGATGTACATAGGTCCCTACTTTCCATACAAACAATTATTTTTATTTCATGGGTGATTTTTCACTGGATTTCTCAATTTATTTTGATTATTCCCAAATTTAATTTGCTCGCATAGTCAGCCTGATTCCAAAATGGTATATGTTGGGCTGTGGCCTCTAGAAGTAATGTTGAAAACACAATTTTATTTTGAAACACTAATTTGCGAACAGTAATTTTTTCATTAAAATTAGTCAATGAAAGTTAGAGAGTTGTGTCCCTTGAAGTTGAAAGAGTGGACAAAGTGACATTCATATTTATTATATAGATGACTAATAACACTGTGTAACAAAATTTTGTCTTTTTTGTCTTTGGTCAGTAAATGTTATTTCTAGAAAACAAAGGAAATGACCCTTATTCCTTTCAAACTTTGTGACCTGGACATCAATGTTTTGAAACTAACATATTTTCCATTCCATCCCAGACAGATTCAGCATTGAGTTGCTGAAGGAAAATTTTGTAGAACTTTTGAGAATTTCTAGAATGTTCTGCTACCAAGGATCATATAGCAAAAACATGATAGGACGCTATATTTGGGGGAGGATTCATGAAAGTAATTTACAGTATCAGCGTAAATTATGAAAAATTACTCACATCTAAATTTTTTGTGGTCTTTCTTGTGTAATCCTACAATAAATAAATGCTACTTTTGAGTTGTTTTCTAACTACTTTGTGTTAAAAAGAATGTTCCCATTCGCCAGTTTTTCCAATGGGAATAGGGAGATGTCAGAAATATCATTATCCGGTCACAAAAGCAAACTTTGGAAATATTATTTCATACTTTCTAGGTATAAACAAATAGGAAATAACAGTTGCTACTCAAGGACAAAAATCATGTTACACAGGGATTCAGTTGAGGAAGGTTGGAGAGTGTAGCAGCTGAAACTGATCAAAACAACCAAGAGAAGGTTAAGAGTCGAAATAATTCACAAAATTAATTTCAGGCAACATGCAAATTAAATTCTTAAACAAAACAAATTAACTACTTTAGGATTATTACAAAGTTTTGTTTAATCCAATATTTTTTTTTCTTAAATAGCTTATCAATCTTTTGCAGGTTATTTAAAACTAGAAAATATTTTAAAATAATAATTTTTTTAAGATGGTAGACATCTTCATTTCAGTTTGCTTTATCAGCAATCTTCTCAGCCTCTGAGATCCCAAAACATGTGGCAGAAGAATGAATGGTCTTGAACAGACAAATGCCAGCTAAGTCGAGTGGAACTGGTTCCACCACCACAATACCAGTGACAAATGAACCATGTGTTAACAAGTGAGGAGTCAGCTGGATGGTAACCATGGTGGTCTGAAGGAACTTGAAGACCAACATGGGGCATAGTGCTACATTATTGGTGGCCATTGACCAGGATCGCCATCAGCATTATGTGTCTATAAATGCTACTTTTGAATCCTGTCATTTTGTTCAAGAATGTTTTCATTTGCCAGTTTTCCCAATGGGAATAGGGAGATGTCAGAAATATCATTATCCTGGTCACAAAAGCAAACTTTGGAAATATTATTTCATACTTTCTAGGCATAAACAAATAGGAAATAACAGTTGGCCTTAGGACTAGTATATTTCCATTTTTATATTTGACCCTTCAGCATTCAACCTGCCCCGTAAATAGTGGCTCTTAATGTTCAACCTGCCATAACCCGCCCCATGTATACTCTGCCATAATATATGGCTATATAATCACAAACACAGGAAGTCAAGTAAATAGTGAAACTTTAACCACAAGAAAGTTACAAAGAAAGGAAACTAATGCAAAAAGGTATTGTCATTGGTCAGGAACTAATCCAAGAAATTCTGTCACATATGTTTATAATTTTCCTCTGGTATCTGAAAAGTGGTGCCATATGGACTGTTTTGTTTGTAATTAATCATAATATAAAGCTTTGTACATACAAGATCATGCTATTCTGTTGACCCATATCAATTTCAATGAAACCATTTTGTTTTTCCTTTTTAGCCCTACCCTGGTTTGGGATGGACATTGGAGGAACACTAACAAAACTTGTGTATTTTGAATTAAAAGATGTCTCTGACCATGGGGAGACTAAGCAGATGGAAACCCTGAAAACAATTCGAAAATATTTGACTGGAAACGTTGCCTATGGCCAGACTGGTATCCGGGATGTTCATCTGGAAATGTCTAATCAACAGATTGGTGGCAAACTTGGATCTCTCCATTTTATCCGTTTTCCAACCAGTGACATGATGCGCTTTATTGAGCTGGCTCGATCAAAGAACTTTTCCAGTCTAGCCAATACCATTTGTGCCACGGGTGGAGGAGCTTATAAATTTGAATCCGATTTCAGAGAGGTAAGTTCAATTTTTAATAATTAAATTTTAAAAAAAAGGGAAAGGGAAGAAAAATTAATTTTTGCGGGTCAGTAAAGGTATGGTGAATCCATTTCTTCTTCTCGCAACTATAGGTTAAATAGTAGGATATGCATCTAAAAAATCATTATCTCCAAAAAAAATTGTTAATGCAATATTCACTCTCAAAAATAAAGAATAATTCTTCCAACGCTATAATGCTGTTCAGTCAAATAATCTAAAGGGCTCACTGAATATCTGATAATGGCTGTTAATATCAGATTTCTTCTATCAGTTGTTTGCTGCAGTGACTTCTACAGTTGTAAAAAGTCTCAAATGCCCATGTTGTGACTGATCTCAAATGACCAGAAATCTACTACGGGAGTTGGTATACCACAGCTAATGGCAGTTCTGACGATTATATGATAAGGGAGACGACAACTCTTTTCAACTTTAATAAATCATACATGGCAATATCAGAAAAAAAACACAAGCTTCAAAAAAAAAAAAAAAAGTTTGTGGGAGTGATGGACAATTATAGCTGAAGACTTGGGCTCTTAGTTACTCACTCTGGGCATCTAATTGTTGGTTTTAAGTTGGTACACGATCATGGGTCCAGGACTTAGCCTTGTCAGTTCTTAGACACATTCTGATTCAAATTTAAGTGATAACTTTTTCTTGGAGTTCTTCTGTGAACTTTGCTTAAATACTCTGGAGTCTGCTGATCTGTACTGCCTGTCCTGCAGTTCTACTCTGTTTGACCTCTGGCCCTCCTATTCTCCCTGTAAACTTCAAAATACCCAGTTTTTGGGTTTTTTTTTTTTTTTTTTAATACTTCACCCAAAACCAGATGGTTTTCTTTCAGGCCACATGCGACGCTTTCTCTAATCATATCTTCTAGTGAAAAAATTATTATCCAAATCAGCATCCTGTTTTAAGACTGAATCAAACAGATGTTTTTCATCAATCTCGACTAATGGGTTTAAGTGTGTCTAGCCTGGAACACTCCAGTCAAGATTTAAATGTTAAATGACATTTCAATGACTTTCCATGCAAAAAAGTGACAGAAAAAACAACTACCGTATTTCTGAGATAAGGTATTGTAATTATTTACATTGTTTGGACTGTTGTCCTCATCTTTATTGCCAACATTGGAGAGTTGAGTTAAGGAAGATAACTGAGACATCCAGCAGAGGCATGGCACGTGGAACTAGAACAATCTGCCCCAGTGGACTAAGTAAAGGGTTCAGTTCAAAATTCCAATCACTTGAAGAAGACCAAAGCATACAATGACCAAAACATTGTGAATATGGCAATAAAGATGAGAACAACAGTCCGAACAATATAAATAGTTACAATACCTCATCTCAGAAATAGAGACAGATGTTGAAGGTGAATATGGCAATAAAGCTGAGAACAACAGTCCAAACAATGTAAATAGTGTAAATAGTTATAATACCTCATCTCGGAAATAGACAGATGTTGAATGTGAATATGGCAATAAAGCTGAGAACAACAGTCCAAACAATGTAAATAGTGTAAATAGTTATAATACCTCATCTCGGAAATAGACAGATGTTGAATGTGAATATGGCAATAAAGATGAGGACAACAGTCCAAATAATGTAAATAGTGTAAATAGTTAGAATACCTCATCTGAGAAATAGAGACAGATGTTGAAGGTGAATATGGCAATAAAGATGAGGACAACAGTCCAAACAATGTAAATAGTGTAAATAGTTACAATACCTCATCTGAGAAATAGAGAGAGATGTTGAAGGTGAATATGGCAATAAAGATGAGGACAACAGTCCAAACAATGTAAATAGTGTAAATAGTTACAATACCTCATCTGAGAAATAGAGACAGATGTTGAAGGTGAATATGGCAATAAAGATGAGGACAACAGTCCAAACAATGTAAATAGTGTAAATAGTTACAATACCTCATCTGAAATAGAGACATATGTTGAAGGTGAATACAATAAAGATGAGGACAACAGTCCAAACAATGTAAATAGTGTAAATAGTTACAATACCTCATCTGAGAAATAGAGAGAGATGTTGAAGGTGAATATGGCAATAAAGATGAGGACAACAGTCCAAACAATGTAAATAACAACCTAATCGTTGGCAGAACTTGTTGACGAGTATTGGGTGCTCATTGATATTTCCTCCTGTGTCAAATGTGTCCACTGTTGGATCTGAAGAGATGTCTACAGCCACTGCATGGTAGGGTAGGTTCAAGGGAATAGAGAGCTCTGGGTTTTCTTTTGGGCTCTCTTCATCTCTTGTCTTCTGGTGTTTTTGAAAAATGTTTTTTCATGGACTGCTCTTCTCCATTTGGTTCTTTAGACGCGAGAAGAAGAAAAGTATTTGGCTGCAAATTCTTTGAAGTAGTCCATGGGTCACCACCCAATGGCACACACAATTCAAGTATCATATATACTTGTGTATAAGCAGCATAGTGCAACCACTGAACTTTTATGCATGAACTTTAACCCCATGCTATGTCTATGATATTCTCAGCCTTTATTAAAAATCCCATTTGTTTAAAATTCATTGCTATATAAAAGGTTAGAGATTGTATAGGTGTTCTGCATTTTTTGTCTCTAAGGACATTTTCTTGTCTCTTAATACTATGCTTAGTTTCTCAAAGGCATCTTCTCACTAATTTTATGTGCCTTTTGATTCTGTAATAATTTTCCCTTATTTGTTAATCCACTATCCAGATACTGGATATACATGTGTATAAGCTGGTATCCTGTATAGTGTGACCCCTGAAATGTTTTGCATGAATTTTAAACCCTCCAGAAAAAAATTACTTGCTTTTAGTACAAGCAGTCACTGAAAAGTCATGATTTTTAACCTTTTGCAACAAATTACTTATGTATAGTGCGACCCTTTATATTTTTGCATGAAAAACTGATCATAAAACACATTTAGAACTGATCATCTAAACTTGCATGATTATACATGTGCAAGTTTTGATTAACTTCAATCATAACTTGACAAACATTTAGAGTTAGAACAAAATTAGACCAGTTCTGAAATCCTATCTACTTCCAGACGAGATATAGAACATATCACTTGGGAAATGGATGATTAAGCATCTGTAAGTTTTGGTTATCTTCAAACAATCATAATTTGACAAATACTTGATGCTGGGACAAAGTTACCACAGTTCTGGAGTCTAGAGACTGTCTATGCTCAGATCAGATATAGCATAAATTACTTGGCAAAAGTTCATAGCTTAGAAAATACTTGGAGTTAGGACAAATTTAGTCAAGTTCTGGAATCCTGAAATTGTCTACTTTCAGATTAAATATAGCACATAGCACTTGGGGGGAAAATAAAATAACACAGCCAATTATCATTCCTCACTCTTTTTTTTATTCTTTGATTGAACTCTGAAGAGTGAGAAACAACAACTGGCTAGATTTTGATTTTTATATTTTTCTTTCCTTGTTTTGTTTTAACCACTTTGGGTGGTTGGTTGTTTGTTTTTGTTTTAGCAGCATATCAACCTCTATGGGTTATATAATGCCAAAATGTAAATATTCTGTATGCAATTTTTTTTTTTTTTTTTTTTTTTTTTTTTGAGATAATAATGATTTTTAGTGATAGAAGTTTTACTAATTAACCCATAGCTGGGTGGAGAAGAGGTAGATTCGTACTTTAATCAAGGGCATTTGCATGTGAGTGAATATAATGAAACCAACTGGAATTGGAACTTGAGTCTCTCTAAATAACAATAAACCACCACACATTTAAGCTTATAACACTTGATATTCCCAAGCAGTCACCTATCTAGGTCCTAACGAGGCTTGATGTTGCTTAACTTTAGCAATCATATAAGAATGCGTGTTTCAAAATGATGTGGCTGTAAACTACCCACTTTGTGGTATTTTTTCCACTTTGTTCTTTGCTTCCCCTTTTAGGCTCAGTTCATAAATGCCAAATGTTTCCTAGGGAAATGACTAATATTACCATTATGCCAGATTTAGTCTTGAAGAATTTGAGTGGAATTGACACTGCTGAGTCTATTTTAGAAACTAATGTGAATAAAATTAGAACATTCCCAGTCAGGAATTTTAAATAAGATTTGAAATAATCATCAGGGACATCAAATCTGTAATTGCATTGATCTGTGAAAACTTTGGTGCTAGTTCTCACAGACTTTCAATATAACCATTTTTTTGCTCATTGCCAAGATGAAAATTCTTTCAAACTTTTTAGAAATTTAATGGTATGTTTTTTGCAATTTACAAATTAACATGTGGTAAAAACAAAATGCAGACGGAGCCACTTACCCCACTAGTGATAACAATAACACCCCTAACCACCACACCCTCATGCAGTCAAAGAGGCAACGTTTTGTGTGATGTTTCTGCAGAAAGAAAGCAAATGGCTGCCCCGCCACAACAGAGTTGGTGTGAACCCTAGGATGTCTGGTTATGGAGAAAGTGTCTACCAGCTTCCCCATGAAATAATCAGGACAGTGTTGGCTATGCAAATGATTCCTTTTGCTAGCCAATCACTAAAGTTTTAAGCTCCATAAAAACGGGAAGAAGCAGTAGGAGGCAATATGCCATGTTGACAGTAAAACAGGATTGCTATTCATTACCAAGGATTTCTCTCTGTTACTCAGTATTATTTGAAATTCGCTCGTGCTTGTTTTGTGTTTCTGGTGTCTTGACTGTGTTCATCCCATACATGTGGAAGTCTTGTTTGTGCCATGCTTGTCATGATCCAGTGTTCAGCACGTTTAAGTCCTTGATTCCGGTGCTGCTGATTTTTCCGTTCTTCCTTGTTGGCAGATAACCAACCAATAATAAGAAAATACTGTGCAACACAAAGTAATCCAGGGTCAGTGTAGCCATCAGGATAAAGCAAGCGTGTAAACATACAACAGGACAGGTCAAAAAAGAAAGCGTTAGCAATAATAATTGCAGTGAAAAATTTCACAAATTTATACACAGAAGGAGTTTTTGTTTAGACAGATCACCATGCTTTATTATCAATTCATGGTTCGAAAAAAGGAATTCCTACACATACAACAAATAGATTACAACTCTAAGGTATCATCTTATTAAATTACAATTTCAAAATGGAATACAAACTATCCAAAAAATTAGGGCATGCTGATGGTTTATCAAGATTGATACCACAAAGTACTGAACCATTTGAGGATATGGTTATTGCAGCATTAAAAATGAAATAGAAATTAAAAATATATTATGCAATGTAGTACACGAATTATCAGTTACCCTGGAAGAAATAAAAGTAAAATCAGAACAAGTCCTATTTATTTCGAAAATAAAAATAATGACTGAAAGAAAGCAAGAAAGATGGACAATTTTTAGAATGCGATCCAGACTTTTATTCACTATGTGACGGAGTACTGATGTTTGCACAAAGAGTAGTAATACCTATCATATTACAAAAGCAGATATTAAATGAATTTCATAGTGGACATCCAGGAATTTCAAGAATGAAATCTCTTATTGAGAAATTATGTATACTGAACCAAAATTGATCAAGACATTGAAGAGGCTGTTCTCTCAAAGCAAAATCACCACAAAATTACAACCTAGGCCAAAGACAGATACTCTGTAGTGAAGACTCCACATAGATTTCACAGGTCCAATAAACAGATCACATTATCTTGTGGTGGTAGATAGAGAAATTGTCCCTTATTATGAGAGAAGCCCCAGATGACGAAAGGAAAGCACTGGAGATTTATCCAAAGGAAAGCCAAAAATAATTTCCCTGTATTCGGAATTAACATCTACACAAAGCCAATGCTGAAACTATTTCTGATTATAATAATATAAGGGCCAAAAAACTGGGCACTTTTATTAAAGCATTCTGGGGAAATAATTACTGACACTTCACTAATTGCCATGGTCCTAAAAGGCCTCCCTTTCAATTTCAAGCCATTTACAACTGTTAGACAAGCTACTAGCGTTTAGTGAATTCAAAATAGCATTGTGAAGCTTCAAAGAACCTGAAAAGATGATTCTGGAGAATAACAGTGAAAATACTGTAATGACTCTCAGAATGTCAAGACCAAAGCCACAAACTAATGTTTGTACCTGTTTTACCTGTACCCAACTTGGGCATAAAACCCCTGATTGATGAAGTAAATTTTGGAATTACCCAATAAATAATCCCCAAAAAAAAAACACTATAATTCAATCCAGCAAACAAAAATATTATCTGCCATGCTTGTTGCAAATCTGGACATAAAAGTACCAAGTGTAGAAACAACAAACTCATTTCGTAAAAAATGTGGAACAAGTTTCAGATTTGTCACCTATCACGTATGTGATAGCAACCACAGTTGACAAACTGTTTTTTGTTGAAACAGTGTCTAGTCCAATTGAAAACAAAAATGAATGTTCAAACGGTTTACTTGTCAACTGTGGTTCTATCATCGTGATAACTGATAAATCTAAATTTCTTACTTTCAATAATGATTTTAATCCCCAAAAAATCATCATATTGAACTGGCAGATGGTAGTCGAAGCAGTAACATTTCCAGCTTAGAAAATTTCAGGTAGTGTCAGTCCGTTTTCACATCGCTCAATATATATATATATATATATATATATATATATATATATATATATATATATAGATAATATTAGTGGAAAATATACATACATATGCAAAATATATAAATACCCATACATGTATATTTTTAGAAAAAAAAAAAAAATTCCAATAGGATAGAATCCAGGTAGAACTCAATGTCCAGGACAGAGTAAGGATATAATAAAAGGCTTAAACACTAATATTCTATGGTCATAATTTATTCCATTGGAATCGCAAATACGATCCAATTCATCAGACCTACAAATTCAAAAAGAAAACAGAAAAAAACCCACTCTGGAAATAAAAACAGAATTTAGAGAGAGTATGAGGAGGAGGGAGATTAAACCTTAACAGAGAGAATTTTAGGAGAGGTGGATGGAAGGGGTTTAAGTAAGAGAAAAATGAATGTTGACTGATGTCTAATGCATAAAAGATACATTTCGTGGTGACATACACACACCATAGACAATTTAATCTTAGAATAAGAGGGAGGGAAAGACGAGGTTGGGGAGAGAGATGGGACGAAGGAAAGTAAAATTGCGTTTACTTAAAGGGCCGCTTTGTAATTGAGAAAATTTGACAAATTTAATATCGACTACAGGTTACAAATCAAATATAAATGTATGAAGATAAATATAACGATTATCTAATCCAGCAAGGACCTATATTTCTATGTTCAAAAACACATGCGAATACACACAATAACATATACATGTATATACATACACATAGGCGTGTACACACATAAAAATATATTCACATATCCATACATATACATATTCATCTATATCCATATACACACACTTTATATATATATATATATATATATATATATATATATATATATATATATATATATATATATGTATGTATGTTCTTTTAATTTCTAGAGACATTGTTGCCAGTAAATACAAAAACTCTTCCTAAAAAAACAAATGGTGTATGTTGTTGGGCAATTATCAAACTATAAACAATGTAATGACCAAAAATTTAAAAATAGAATTCATTTGAAATTTTGTAACACCATTTATACTGCACTCTGTAGATGGGTGTATTCAGTGGGTGTTACAGGGTGTTGGGTGTATTCAGTGGGTGTTACAGGGATGTATAGGGAAGCAGGATACACTTGGGAGAGAAAACTGCTCTCACTCATGACATCTCAGACTAACAGATCAACTTTTTCCTTCAACCCTTCCTCTCACTTCATATCATGATGTTATAGTCAAACATCACACTGGACAACTGGAAACTCAAACAGGGGTCAATGTGTCCCCATTAACAGGTAGCCCAGAACTCGCCTACTTCAATCCAACAGTGACTGTTAAAAAAAGTTCCCAAAAGTTTTCATTTATTTATTCTTTTATTCCTTTTGGTCAAGTGGGGGGCAACTATATCTCACAGACTATATCTTTGGGCATGAAACATTTGAGAACAAGAAAAAAAAACTCTTATGCCATCCCCTTCTATGTGGCTATCACATTCATAGTATCATTGAGGTTTTAAGGTTTTGAACAAGAAAGGAATAGCTTTGAAGCATTATTGGAATTCGAACCTTAGAATTCTTGAGTCACGGGAGCCCTTTTCCAAGTATCTTGTCAAATTGGTTTTGAACTAAAATACAGGTCATCTGTGCTGCCTAAAAAAAAGTTGGTTTTATTGAATTGATTTTAAATAAAATTTTGCAGTTGTCAGTGGCTAAATACTGGTAGTGGCAACTATTCCTTGCTTGCTGAAAGTTTGGTTTAAATGGATTGATTTCAGATTTTTAAAAAAATCCATTTCAGAGATAAGTGTTTTTTCTCTGAAATTAAAAGCTAAAAAACATTTTGCAGTAGAAAAAAAGTTGTATGTGGCCAAATACTGGTAGTGATAAGACATATTCCTTGCTTGCTGAAATTTTGTTAATTTTAGTAATAACTGCTCACCCCAGACATTCAAATTGAAAGGATGGTATTTGTTATTGATAAGTGTCAACTAGAAACTCATGGCATTGTATAGCTTCTCAAGTGTTGAATAATTTTTAACTAACCAAAATGCAAGTTGTTTTAATGTGACATTTTCTTCCTCTTTTTCAGCATGTCCAGTTGGAGCTTCATAAATTTGATGAACTGGACTGCTTAATTAAAGGTATCCACTATATTGACCGTCACAACCCACAGTCTGAATGTTATTACTGGAAGAACCCTGACAATCCTGTCCTTTGTGAGAAAGTTTCATTTGACTTCCGAGATCCCTATCCTTATTTGGTGGTCAATATTGGTTCAGGGGTCAGTATTTTAGCTGTCCGTTCGCCAGATGACTATAAACGTGTTAGTGGAACAAGGTAAGTATTACATAAATATAGCATAAATAAAAATGATGCCTGGTGGTAGTTGTTTAATTCACAGCTCTTAATGTATTCAGCACCAAATGAGATTAATTAAGATTTTCATTGCTTCACCTGTTTAGTACCAAATGACATTAAATATGTAATATCCCCTTTTTGAAGTTCACACCTTGTCACCATTTTGTCCTCCACACATTGCAACCACTAATACTTACTTTCTAACATTTTTATTTATAAATCAGTGAAGAATCCCTTTGGATTCTGTAATCATTTTCCATCATCTGTTTCTAGACTATCCTTTTATATATTTATATATATATAAAAGCTGATTTCATGTATAGTGCGACCCCAGAATTTTTTTTTGCATAAAATTTATCCCCGCTAGGAAAAAAATTTAACTGTCTTTAGTGCAACTGGTCATGGAAAATGCATGTTTTTTAACCTTTTCAAAAAAATTACCTGGATATAATCTTAATGTGTATTTTTGGTATAAAAAAACTGATTATAAAAACTCACACCTTATTCAAGTATATATAGTTATTAAAATTCTGTAACTTTTAAGGAAGGTGAGAATGCCACTAGTACACAGGGTGTTACAGGGAGTGAAAGTAAGCAAAAAGACTGAGTATAGCGAGGATTGAAGAATGGACAAAAAATGAATGGGATTCAAGCAGATAGAAGATGGCAATTGATGTTGCATTTAAAGTCTGTCTATATTTCTGAGATGAGGTATCATGTACAGTATTTACATTAGTCGGACTATTGTCCTCATCTTTGTTGCCATATTTATCACAATGTTTCGGCCGTTGTACGCTCCGGCCTTCTTCAGGTGGTTGGAATTTCGAACTGAACCCTTTATTTTGATCACTGATGTAGACTGTTCTAGTTCCACGTGCCATGTTTGATGGATGTCAGTTATCTCCTGCTAATTTTCCCTCTGAAAGTTCTCCACTGCCTTAACCAGGTATTGAACTCACCTTCTTTTGGTTCTGTCACTGGATCTTACCAACGCCTTTATCCACTGTGCCATGTGTCCTTGAGGTATGAACTTCTGAGTATTATAAACCTAATGTTTTCAGCATCATTTTTACCAGTGCTCATATTGCAATTTTGCTGTTATCATTGCATGTCTTTACCAGAGTTCATATTGCAACTTTGTTATCATTGCTTTTCTCTGGCACTCCTTGTTACTGGTTCCCATATTGTATTTATTTCTATGCTTGGTCGGCTCAGGAGATTTTTGTGGCCTAGCATATGTGCTGATTCCTTAAGTTTACGGATTTTCCAATGGTGTTCCCTGTCTATGATCTCAACATGATCCCACGCAGATATCTCTCACGAGTGAGACCCCCCCACAGAGAGGAACATGACTAAAGACTGTGTGTGTGTACGCTTATCCCTGCAGCCTTGGAAAGGAATATAAAGGAGAGACAGGCCGCCCCCTCAAGGTAAGGCTTCAAGAACACCAGAAAGCTGTAACACGAGGAGAAGTAGAAAAATCAGGCGTAGCTGACCACATATGGAGAGAAAAGACGTTGGTTAGATCCAGTGACAGACCCAAAAGAAGGTGAGTTCAATACCTGGTTAAGGCAGTGGAGAACTTTCAGAGGGAAAATTAGCAGGAGATAACTGATAACTGACATCCATCAAACATGGCACGTGGAACCAGAATAGTCTACCCCAGTGATCAAATAAAGGGTTCAGTTCAAATTCGACCACCTGAAGAAGGCCGGAGCGTACAACGGCCAAAACGTTGTGACAAATATGGCAACAAAGATGAGGACAATAGTCCGACTAATGTAAATACTGTTGCATTCAAAGTTTTGAAGATTCTAGTTATCTGGAAAGCAAGTAAACTGAAGGGAGTTCCACAGGCAGGAAGTGTGAGAAAAGAAAGTGTTGGAGTAGAAGTGGCGATTACATTTGGCTATATCAACAGTAAAAAGGTGGGATCTAGATGCCAGTCTAGGGGCATACTTAAATTCATGTTGTCAGGGCACCAGGGAAAAAACTTGTCAGAGCAGTTGCCTTGAAAATATTTTTAAAAAAGACATAGGGAAGCCATGTCACTTCTGTGAGAAAGTGACTGAAGTCAAGATGCCAAGTCCGGATCAATTACATTGCAGATCCTTCTTTGGATTTTGTCAAGAACCTTGAGATGAGTAGCATGAGCGCCAGATCAGATATGGCAACAGTATTCGATGCATAGACAAATTGTAGATTTATAAATGTGTAAGATGTACAATGACAAGACAAATTTGTGGCATGACACAGTCTCCAATACATAACTTGTAATTTTATAAACAAACATTTGCATATTATATTTCAACTATTATGTGTTTGAAAAGTAATAAACATGCATAATATGTTATAACAACATTATTAAATAAATTTAAATATGCATAACACAACATATCTTTATACAATTCATTACATTACATTAGAACTTTTTTATAAACAAATATTGTGGATGTTTGATAACTACTCGATAGGTAAAGAAACTATGTGGGTGTGTCATTGTAAAATGTAATTGGTATGGCTGGAAAATTATGTCACATGACCTGATGATAAATAGATGCCTGCTGGTTTACTGCTGTTGCATATTTTGAAATAATGTGAGGAAGGAACTTGTCTGTATAATAAAAAGTATAATTATTATTATTTTTTAAAATTACATAGAAAAAAATGAAACTGAGTGCACAAAAAGGAGGCATTCACTTTATTTCAATAAATATGAATTTCCCTAAGCAGACAATTGCTGTTTGCTTCTTTTTTTGTGGGGGGGTGACATTCATCTTCGAGAATTATAATATGGTATATACTAAAATTGGTATAAATTGTCACCCAGGGGCTACTATTACTTGAATAGAAAGGCCTTTAGTGCGATATCAGTTTGCAATTCTGTTCTAAAAGTAAACTTTTTCATATTAATTTATCATTCAGTTTTATCTAAGTAATATTGTATAATAATTATTACAATAACTTGTATTGCAAATATAAATGAAAATATATGTAATTAATAATAAAATTGATAATATTGTTACCTTATCATTTTGTATGCTGAAATGTTTTTAAAATGGAACCAATGGGTTTGGGGTGGGGGTCTAGCTCTTCATTATTTCTGGATGTTCTCTACTGTTTCTCTTTTATTAAATCACAAAATTCCTTTTGTTTTTTTTCTCTGCCTTTCTTCCTTGAAATTACTTTTTCTTTTTTTTTTTTCTGCTCTTACTAATGTTTCTCTCGAGGTGTTTCACTTGGAATTCACTCAAGGTTGTTGTGATAGTTTTCAAAAATCTTGAAGATCAACATCCTGAACTTTATAGTTCTACAATCCCCTCCTCACCAGCATTATGCTGTATGTAGGCCAAATAAATAAAGGTAAAAACAAAAAAACCCATAAGCATTAAAGGTGTTGAGCAAATCTGATTATAAAACTATAAGGTTAGGCGTTTGTAGAGCGTCAGCTTCTAAAAGACTTGTAATAAGGAATCTGGGTATAAAACGCTCTTACTTATTAAAGGGGAGATAATTCGTTTATTGCCATACATTACTGCCTTACTTTGCTTCATAAAACATTTTTGTTTACTTTTCTCTTTTTTGTTTACTTTTCTCTTTTTTTTCTCCATTTTTGTTTACTTTTCTCTTCTTTTCATTCTCTGTTTACGTTTCTCTTTTTTCATTCTTTGTTTACTTTTCTCTGTTTTTCATTCTTTGTTTACTTTTCTCTTTTTTCATTCTTTGTTTACTTTTCTCTTTTTTCATTCTTTGTTTACTTTTCTCTTTTTTCATTCTTTGTTTACTTTTCTCTTTTTTCATTCTTTGTTTACTTTTCTCTTTTTTCATTCTTTGTTTACTTTTCTCTTTTTTTTCATTTTGGTTTACTTTTTCTTTTTTTCATTTTTTTTACTTTTTTTTTTTTCATTCATTTTGTTGCCCCCCCCAATTTTTTCTCTTTTTTTTTTTTTTTTGTTTACTTTTCTCCATTTTTGTTTACTTTTCTCTTTTTCTTTTCACTTTTGTTTACTTTTCTCTTTTTTTCACTTTTGTTTACTTTTCTCTTTTTTTCACTTTTGTTTACTTTTCTCTTTTTTTCACTTTTGTTTACTTTTCTCTTTTTTCACTTTTGTTTACTTTTCTTTTCTTTTCTTTTCACTTTTGACAAAATTTTCTCTTTTTCATTTTTCACTTTTTGTTTCATTTTTTATTTTTTTTTTTCTTTTTCATTTTGTTTATTTTTCTCTTTTTTTTTCTTTTTTTTTATTTTTCTCCTTTTTTCATTTTTTTACTTTTCTCTTTTTCATTTTTTTTACTTTTTATTTTTTGTTTACTTTTCTTTTCATTTTGTTTTTTTCTCTTTTTAAATTTTTGAAAACTTTTCTCTCTCTTTTCATTTTTGTTTACTTTTTTCTCTTTTTCATTGTTTATTTTTTCTCTTTTTCATTTTGTTTATTTTTTCTCTTTTTCATTTTTCTTTATTTTTTATTTTTCATCCTTTTTCATTTTGTTTACTTTTCTCTCTTTCCATTTTTGTTTACTTTTTTTATTTCTTTTTTTTTTCCTTTTCTCTCTTTTTTTGTTTTTTTTTTTTTTCATTTTTTTTGTTTACTTTTCTCTCTCTCTTCATTTTTGTTTACTTTTTCTCTCTCTCTTCATTTTTTGTTTACTTTTTCTCTCTCTCTTCATTTTTTTGTTTACTTTTTCTCTCTTCATTTTTGTTTACTTTTTTTCTCTCTTCATTTTTTGTTTATTTTTTTCTCTCTCTCTCTCTCTTTTTTTGTTTACTTTTTTCTCTCTCTTCATTTTTTTTGTTTACTTTTTCTCTCTTCATTTTTTGTTTACTTTTTCTCTCTTCATTTTTTGTTTACTTTTTCTCTCTCTCTTCATTTTTTGTTTACTTTTTCTCTCTCTCTTCATTTTTTGTTTACTTTTTCTCTCTCTTCATTTTTTGTTTACTTTTTCTCTCTCTCTTCATTTTTTGTTTACTTTTTCTCTCTCTTCATTTTTTGTTTACTTTTTCTCTCTCTCTTCATTTTTTGTTTACTTTTATCTCCTTTTTTTACTTTTCTTGCTCTTTTTTCTTTGTCATATTTTTAAAACTACTTTTTAATTTCTCAGACAAAAACCCTTTTTTATTCTACTGAAAACAAATATCCTTACATTCCTGTATAAAATATCAAAGATGCTCTGGGACAGTTGATATTGTTTTTACTGCATTCACCGTTTTGTGAATTCTATGATTTTTTCATTCACCATGAGTACAAGAAGCCAATGAACTGGTGAACAAAGTTTGAAGAATTATGTTTGAGTAACCAAGAAAACAAAGATGGGGATCATCATCCTTATGTAATTAGTGTAAATAATATAAATTTTTATATATCAGAACAATGTTAGACAAATTAATGACAAAGTGAGGATTTTTTGTAAGTAGTGGATTAAAGAAAATTTGGTGACAGTAATTATGAGTTCAATCCCTGGGTAGGGGAGTGTGTACTGGAACTTACTGGAAACAGGGCAAGCAATTATCCCTAGACATGGGCAGTCGAACAAGAAGAGTCTAGCCCCCTGATGATTAAATAAAGGGTCGAATTTTGAATTCCCTGTTACCCAAATCGATATACTCCTGATAACAACAAAGATGAGGACAATATTCAGGATGTAAATTTTTTTTTTTTTTTTTAATCATTTCACCCCAAACAAGGTGGGAATGTCACTGGTATGCAGTGGGTTACAGAGAGTGAAGGTGGGAGAAAAAGATTAGGTATAGGGGTGATGAAGGAAAGGATAAAAGCTGAATGTAGTTCAAGAAGATAGGTGGCGGCAAATGACATTGCATCAATCTTTTAAAGAAGAGGTGATGCCTACCTTATCATTCAGAATCCTGGGCTTTTATGTGGGTTTCAATACTTGGAAATATCACTCAGTTCTTAATGACTGGCATAGGGACACAAGAGTTGAGAACTCAGTTTAGATTAAGCATATAAATAAGACTGTCTTGTTAACCGTTGCTTTTTGATAGGCACACAACTGCATTTTAAAAATCCCAGCCACTTGTTAATTTATTCATGCTTACTCAATTTTTTTTATTTTTCAAAATTACTTCCTTGTTCTGTTTTCAGTTTGGGTGGTGGGACATTCCTCGGATTGTGTTGTCTCCTCACAGGCTGTGAAACATTTGAAGAAGCCATCGAAATGGCTTCAGATGGTGACAGCACCAAAGTTGACAAATTGGTGAAAGATATTTATGGAGGAGATTACATTAAGTTTGGTTTATCAGGAGATGCAGTCGCAAGCAGGTAAATAGACACACCCCTTTTCTTTCTCTTTCTCCTTCTCCCTTTTCTCCTTCTCCTTTTTCTCCTTTTTTCTCTTTCTCCTTTTTTCTCTTTCTCCTTTTTTTCTCTTTCTCTCTCTTTCTCTTTTTTTCTCTTTCTCTTTTTTTCTCTTTCTCTTTTTTTCTTCTCTTTATTTCTTTCCAAATATTCAAGGAATCTTTTTTTAGGTGTTCTCTGGCAGGATATAAAGCTGCATTCTCCAAGAGGAAATAATCATAAATCTGACATGCTTTGACCTCTTGCCTACTGAGTACATTGATGGCCAAGCAAAGTCTGAATAATGCCTTTGAACACAGACAAAAATAAATCCTGTTTAATAAATAAACAGAGCATCTAGTATTTACTCAAATATGATTATCCACTAAAAATAACATAATGTCAGATTATTAAATAATAAAATCCATTCCTCTCTTTAAATACACACACACACACACGTGTGTAGTAGTAGTAGTAATAAACCATAAAATCCCAAATCACCTCATATGGGGTATAGACCTATATCAGCCAACAAAAACTTTGTCAATTTTATTCAAGCCCAGCATACAGACTGAGTTCATGTCAGAATTATAAATTTAACTGTGACAACAGTCAAAAAATTTATTCTAAATTCTATGTTCAACATCATCACTTGATAAGACACCAGGGGTGTTGAAACAAAATGGCTATTTTTGTAGTGATTTTATAACATATTTATGTTATAATTTTTAAATAAATAATTATATTCGCTCTACTTTGTATTGAGCACTCTTTTAAGAATAGTAATCGTTGGCTATTGGAAATTATTTCGTATACACCAATCATATACTTGTACATTCATATATATATATATATATATATATATATATAGGTATGATTCCTTTCCATAATAATAAAAGAAAAAGTATTTTGGATTTCTCTCCATCAGAAAACAAAATCTATTATTATTTTTCAGAAATAAGCTTGACCTATCATTTTATATAAAATTAATTTATAACTGCAAATTTGATTTTATTATTGAAAAAAAATAAATAAAGTTAAATATTGACAGTTCAAAATAATATCAATTCTATATTTGATGTTTGATACTGAAATTCTGTATATAACCAGAGACCTTTTGATACTCAGTCTGATACTTATCCAATTGATTTATATTGATCTCAATAAGTATGTTGTTTGATTTATTAAAAGAAAGTGTAAGTACAAGTACTAAAATTTTCTTCCCATGACACAATGCTGAAACCTGGGATTGAACCAGAATCTTTTACATTCTAATGTTCTCTGAATTTTTTCACTTCATTTACAACTGGTAGCTTAACTTCCATTGTAAAATTAGTTTCTATCCTTAGACAATTTCTGTTCTCAAATCTTACATTTGTTCTTGTTGAAAACGTTTTCTGCAATGTGACTGTATTTAAGCATTAACTATTTTTTTTTTTTTTTTTTAAGTTTTGGTCACATGAACTTGAAAGACCGAAGAGAATTAACAACAAGAGAAGATCTAGCAAAGGCCACATTGGTCACAATTACCAATAATATTGGTTCCATTGCGCGGATGTGTGCAATCACAGAGGTAAATATGCCCCTTATTTAAAAATGTCCGTCTTTTGGGGTCAGTTCAATCAGTGTGGGTTGATCACTTCTAAAATTATTAAAATTGAGTTGAATACAATAATGATGACATTTGTCATCTTCCAAGAAAACATGTTTCAAATTAGACTATTAATGACATCAGTGAGAATCCTGTCAGTTCAGGAGATCAAGATTTGTGTTGCGATCAAATCGAGAGGAAAAAAAAAAAAAAAAAAATTCCTGGACCCAAAGTGTGTGAGTTCAATACCTGGTTAAGGTGGTGGAGAACTTGGAGAGGGGAATTAACAGGAGATAACTGATAACTGACATCCATTAGACATGGCATGTGGAACTAGAACAGTCTACATTAGCAAGTGAAATAAAGAGTTCAGTTCGACATTCCAACCACCTGAAGAAGGCTGGAGCATACAACGGCTGAAAAGTTGTGATAAATATGGCAACAAAGATGAGGATAGTCCAAACAATGTAAATAGTGTACATAATACCTCATCTCAGAAATATAGACAGATAATGAAAAAAATCATAAATAATGAAAATGGCTGTATTTAAGGAACTGATAAAAGGTGACGAGAATCGAATAACATTTTTATTTAATAATCAATCTCTCTCTATAATGTTTTTCTTTTTCTCATATTCATTCACACTCCATAACCCCCCTTGTGTCTTAGTGACTTTATTGCCTTGCTTGAAGGTGAAATGATTAAAAAAAAAAATAATAATAATAATATGCATACATTCAGGCACAACAATTATGTGATTGTTTGGGTGCACATAACGACTTGGCTTCAGACATTTTTTGTTTGCTGAAACAGTGCTTCCCTGTGCATTTTCTACAAATCTCTTTGGTCCAGAGATTGAACTTCCAGGAAATAAAAAAAAAAAAAAAAAAAAAAAAAATGATTCAAATACTTTCCGATTTCATAATCGCCACCTCTCTTTGGTGAGGAGAGATTCTACCTGCTCCATCATGTTAATGTCCTTCTCCCTCTCATTAATCAGAGAATGAAATTCCATAGCAAAAAAAAAAAAGGATTAATAATTTCTATCCAGTAGTCCAGCATGGGGAATTACAACTTGGAGATACTAAAATTAAACAAGTGCAAAAATTGAAATATCTCAAGTGTTTTAGCAGAGAATGGAAAATGCAACACTAGAATCCAAGGACATATTGAGGAAGAAAAAGATGCTTTCCAACACATAATCAAATGTATTGAGAAACCATTGTAGGTGTGTGTGGCAGAGCAATCTTCTACCTGACCATTTTCTCTTTGTGTTGTACTTGCGCTTAAAATATCTACCAATTGATTCTTTCTCAGTTTTGCAGCTTTATCTTGAGTTTTTTTTTTCACTTGTATAAACCTAAGCATTTTCTCAGTTGTTTGACATTTCCAGCAATATTTCGGCCTCCCCCCGACTATGACCTTTCGGCCTCCCCCGACTATGACCTTTCGGCCTCCCCGACTATGACCTTTTCGGCCTCCCCGACTATGACCTTCGGCCTCCCCCGACTATGACCTTTCGGCCTCCCCCCGACTATGACCTTTCGGCCTCCCCGACTATGACCTTCGGCCTCGGCCTCGGCCCCCCGACTATGACCTTTTCGCCTGACCTTTGGCCCCCCGACTATGACCTTTTGACCGCCTCCCCCCTATGACCGCCTCCCCCGACTATGACCTTTCGCCTCCCCCTATGACTATGACCTTTAATGATAGGGAAGGCTGAAACTTCATCTTCATTTAATCCAAACATGATATTGTTTGCAGTCTTTGATTTTTCTCACATCTGACATCCTTTTTAAGGATTTCGGATTTCATAATTGTCATCTCAATTCTGAATGGAGAAATTCTTCTTTTCCCATCAGGTTAAAGTCCTTCTTCTCTTATTGACTTTACAACTTCCCAGAAAAAAAAAAAAAAAAAAAAAAGATAGAAATACTTCCCCCCCAGAAGGTCATGTCTCCAAGGTCACTTAGGCTGTTAGACTTGCTGTCTTTGCCTTTTTTTGTAATTAATAACAATACACAATACGTTTTGTTTAAAAAATGCAAATTGTTTTCTCTATTTTTCAGAAAATGGAACGTGTTGTATTTGTAGGCAATTTCTTACGAGTAAATACCATTTCTATGAAACTGCTTGCATATGCCATGGAGTATTGGTCAGGAGGTGCTTTAAAAGCACTATTCTTAGAACATGAGGTAAGGACAACATTTTGTTGGCAACTGGCTTTAAGGAAATTTCCGATTTGTTAAACAGTCTAAATTTTATCAGAAAATATTTTCAAAAACCAATTTTATTTTCCTTTTTAATGAATAGACAGATTTTATTATGACACTAATTAAATGTTGTCTTGTGCCTGGCATTTTTTCCTGATAAGTTTTTATCTGCAGGTGCCAACAAGTTTATTCGCAATGATAGTTTTAGTGTGAAAACAATGTTGAGTTAAAGCTATAAATCAACTCCTAAAACATTTTTATCACCTAAGTTGGATATTATAAAATTGGCATTTCATGTTAGATTTTATAACTGACCTCAGGTAGTCAATGTGTTAGAATTAAATTGGAAACCTAAAAAGTATTAAAATAATGATCTTTAACCTTTAGCACTCCATAGGTGACTATTTTTGCCAAGTAAAATGTTAGTTCTTTCAATACAAGTTGAATTTGTTGGTTGTGTAGTCATATCCTTCTATGGCAACACCTAAAACAATCTTGACTGAAACTGAGCCAGGCTACTACAATTTCAAATATATAGAACTAATATAAAACACTATACAGGAATTAATATTTATAAATAATGCAGAGTGTTAAATGTTAAACATATTGTCTATAATTGTGAGAAGAGTCTTTCACATTTCGAACAATTGAACTTTTTGATATTCTTGCCAAAATAGAATTGACCAAAATATGGTGGGAACAATAGCAAGACTACAAAGAATGAGTTCAGTTGTTGGACAAAAATTTGGAATGACATTTCACATTTATAATTTAGAATGACATTTCAAATTTGGAATAACATTTCAAATTACATTCTCTGCAACTTTGTATTTTCTGATTGGTAGAATTTATTAGTTTCACATTTCTAAAATGAGATTTAATGTAATTTTCTTTTTCTTAAAATAAATTTTGTGCGTTTTAAACTTTTTTGTTTTTGGCCATAAGCTCCTGACTATTCAGACCACAAGTCTTTCTCTTCTTTCATATGATTTTTATGTTGATTATATTTTGTGGTTTTAATGGGTAGCAGAACAGGGATTAGGAGACGTAAAGAAAAGTGAAACCTTAACTAAGAGCTAAAAAGGATAGTAAAATATGGAGAATCATGATCATCCACTTCCAGAAGGAACTCAGCAAATAGAAAAAGATTATTGTGCGGTTTCCCTTCTGGTAAAGCACAATGTCACAAATTCAGTATATATTTGCTATTCCAGAAGTTTTTATCATTTGAAACATAGTCTTTGATTTTATTTTACATTAAGGTTCACCCTGTACAAGGCTTGGGGGCCACTCTAGGTAGAGGGTTATGTTAGGAGGTAGTGTGTATGGATAGGAGAGGAAGGTAACGGTTAACCCTTGACATGACCAAGTTAAGATTGCAGTGATTGGGGAAAACATCCTCTTTGGAGTCGGTGGCATGGCAGGTCCTCGCTGTGAAGGTTCGGCCTGGCAAAACCAAGGAATGTAGTTTGTCCAAGCACTTTCTGTGAAAGTAGTGATAGTGCAATGTGAGGCTTGCTTACATCCCACCTGTGAGATTGGAGAGGCAGAAAATAATTTGTCACCTGCAAGGACTCTGAGAAAATTTTGAGGGGAAGATAGATCATTTAGATTGATGCAAATATTTAATGATGCAGTAGAGGAATTTCTACAGGTATTTTATTGTCGTAGAACTTGCCATCAGCTTATTCAATCATTAACTAAAGAATTAAGATTCATCAGAAATTTAAAATAGGAAAACCATAAAATTTCCACAAGTTTTATTTTAGTTGTTAATTACTGCATTTAAAAGTGATCTAAACAAGTCTACGCAAAAATCACATCATGATGACTTTGTAGGGGTCATTGTTCTAAAAATGAATCTTTTTCATTTCAGGGTTATTTTGGAGCCATGGGATGTTTACTGGAATTAATGAAATTAGGTCAGAATCTTGGAAAACAATGAGTGTCTGTCTGTGCGTCATCATCTGCTGCTGCTGCTGCTGCTACTAGGGGACCTTCATATTTCTTTGGTCAAATGATTTATTTTTATTTTCAACTTATTGTTAATATTTTTTTATTATTAGAATTTTTTTCTATGAAAAAAATGATGATGATAATAATATGAAAAAAAAACAATATTTTCTTTTCTACTAATTTAAAATCTCCAAAAGTTAGTTATCATGCCAAATTTCACATTAAAGCTGAAAATATTTTTTATCTATTTTCTGTTTATAAAACATGGCATGAGGGGTCCATATCTACATACATACATGCATTGTATCCTTTCACATCAATAATGACCTGCCCAGCACCCAACTCCTCGCTATGATAAATGTCTTCTTTTGCAATTGTTTTTCTTGAGGATCAATTTTGTACACTCCAACCCTGCCCAACAATAATTAACAAAAACTCTTCATGAATACACCAGAGAGAGGAGGAGGGAGGAGGTGCATATTACTTAACATTTGGTAAAATGCCATATATATATATATATATATATATATATATATATATATATATATATATATATATATAATTTAAATAAAAACAGACCACTTTAAGGTTCCATGTAATAAATTATTCATCACAGCCAATTTTCTTTTCATTTTTTGTTTGGAAGTAAAGTCTGATGATCCGTAGTCCTTTAAAAAGGGCTGTGGTGAAATAATTTATTACATGGAACCTTAAAGTGGTCTGTTTTTTATTTAAATTATTTGCTCTGGATTTACATTGAGCTCTCTGGATTTTATCCTCCTTAGGTTTACCCATACGGATTACCTAGTTTTTCATGAACTAAATATATATATATATATATATTCTAAAACTAAGATCAATAAATGTTCCTTCAATAGTTTCTAAATTTTATATTAAATATGCGATTCAAAATACTGACCACACCCATTGTAGAACTTGATGTGACTTTTTCTTCATCTGGGGTCAAAAATTAAGGCAACAAAAACATTCATAAATAAAATTAGCAAATAATCTGTGCATCCAGTCTGTTTCATAATAGACGTGCATCTCTCTGCGCAGACACACGCTCTCTATCTCTCTGCTCAGGCACACACTATCTATCTATATCCAAGTCATGTCAGAAAAGAAACAGTACACATGTCAGAAGAAAATGTTATGTAAAATCCAAACTACTATTTTCCCCTTCAGAATTGTCCCCCTTGAGTCTAACACACTTTACCATCCTTCTCTGCCGTGCCTCCATGCACTCCTGGAAGGATTTTTCTGGGATTTAAGACCGCTATTATGACAGAACTGCGGAGAATCCTCCCAGGAGAAGGCTGAGCCGTTGAAAAGAAGATCAGTAAAGTGCATTAAACTCAAGGGAGATAATTTTGAAAGGGGGGGAAACATCCTTTAAACACTGAAAGTACACATAAAAATTTCCATTTGTTGGTTTAAATGATGTCACCTTCATTGACTTGAAATTGGTTTTATCAAATGTGATGATAACAGAATTAAAAAAAAAAAACTATTTGCATAAATAGCGTGTGTGTGTGTGTGTGTGTGTACACACACTATATATATATATATATATATAGAAGCATATATTGTTAAATATAACCGGCAACGAATATGTTTGATCATGAGCCATTCTAAGCTTCGTATAGTGGTTTTAGTTTCAGGAGTAAATGAAGACAAAAATTATCCAACATTTGGTAATTTTTTTTATTATGCTGTTCCTCGATCTAATGTTTCGGCTCACATGAGTCATCATCAGAGTGGGTATATGAACATTACAACAGATGTTCACCATAAAAGATAACATTGTTTTGTTTACATAGAAGTTTGCTATGCAATGTTAATGGTTGCGGAATAGCAGTTTTGTCTTTTATTTCCTTCCAAAACTAAAACCACTATGCGAAGCTTAGAACAGTTCATGATCAAGTATAATAGATATTTGTTGTCTGTTATATTCAATGATATATGTTTGAATAATGATCTGCTGCCCCAATACACTATATATATATATATATATATATATATATATATATATATATATAGGGGGAAAATGTATGACAGACTTGCACACAAATGAGGGATGCTGGGAATTTTAACAAAAAAGAATATGAAATCAGTGATATTATAAAAAAAATTGAAATTTAAAATTCCCAGCATCCCTCATTCATGTGCATGTTTAGTCTAGCCAACATAACAAATTTAGTCCAATAAAGTCATCAAGGACAAAACCTGTCACATGAAAATTTTTTCCCACTTTGTCATACATTATTTCCCTAATATTGTTCTTGATAAATAAAAATATATATTGTTATCTCATTTGTGGTCTGATGATCATTTAAGTCATAAAACTGACATTGGTTTCTATGTCTGCACTATTTATATCTAAAAACACTCCATCCTGATGTTGAGCACTCTCTCCTCTTAAATATGGCAAAATTTGAAACTTTATAATTATACACACACATACATATAATTGCGCACATACATATACACATGTAATTATGCACATATACATACATATATATGTGTATATCTAAAAAGTGATAAGAGATTCTTTGTATATTTGTGCAGCGTAAAGCTTTGGGAAATGTCTAATATTTTCGGCTACTCCTGCAGTCTTCATCAGTGCTTGTTATCAAAGAGTTTCTTTTGAACTAGCTAAATTTCTGTAAATAGCTTCCATTCAAGAATCACCAATCCTTTGTTTGCGGCACAACAAAGATTTTTATGGCCTCTGCTGCAGCTTTCTACATTTTTGTCTCTTGCTTTGGTCAGATGACAATAACTATAAGTTTGTAAGGTGTGTCGCTGAGCACTCTCTTTCAATTTATCAAATTGCTGAAAGATCAAAAGTACTTGAGTTAGAAAAAACTACGCTGCTTTCCTTGATGAATTTCATTTTAACATGAAGAAACTGATTAGACTACTGGAAAGGAACAGTATAAAAATAAGTAGACAATATGTCTATATTATTCAACGAGACATGGTTGAAAGAAGATATGCTACCTACCTATATATATATATATATATATATATATATATATATATATATATAAGCGGTGACTCTAGGTCATCAATGTTTGTCAGGCTCATTACAATCATTAACAAAATATACAATTGGTATAACTTAGGTGCTAAAATGATTCCTTTACTTTAGCTAAAATATATAACTTTTAAAAATCTCTGCATGAAATTAAAAAAACACATTTTGATATTTTAATATTAATTGTAATAATTCTATAAAAACAAACATTTATGAATTTCAAAAAATCTTTCCAGATATGTAAGAAAAAAAGAGTGAGGACAATGTCTTTGATATGTTTGTCTGTTTATTGCCCCCCTTTCTATTTTTTGATTGTTTTATGGCCTGGTTATCCAATCACTGATGGTAGAGATAGGAATAGTTGACTGACATCATATTTCCTCAACACTATCCCAGCTACACTCCTCACCCCAACCCTCCAAGGCTACACTTTCTTTGATTTTCACTGACATTGTCAGGTTAAACTTGATCTGCCTCTTTTTCAATTGATACATTCCACTAAAACACCTTATACTGTATGGAATAAATTATTTAAAATGGTCATTTGAAAAAAATAAGTTGAAATGTGTTTTTTGAAAAATAGAGCATATTTCATTAGAGATTTTTAAAAGATTATTTATAAAATAAAAGCAAGAAATACATTGCCTATTAAGTATGATAGGACTCAGATCTATGCAGCCTGACTATCTATGTTAATTCTATTTCATTCTTTTGTTACTTACTTTCTTTCTTTTTTTTTTTTTCTTTCTTCTTTCTATATTATGAACAATATCAACAATGTATTTCGGTCAATATTTTGAGGCATAGAATTAAAATAATTCATTTTGGATCCAGCTAAAGTCAAGAATGAAAACTATGCACTATGAAAGATTTTTGTTGCCTTGAAATAAATATATTTGAATGTTGACTCACTCTGGCTAACCTTGACACCAGGAGTTGTCACTGATATATAATGCTAGCATTTAATATATATAAAATAATATAACTTAACAGACTCAGTTCCAGAATTTTCCAATCATTAATTGGGACTATCTTGTTGGCCTTCCATAAGTATTCAATGCAATTATACCTAATTTAATAACAACAACATTTAAAGTATTGGGGATATATATGCATATAGGATAGGATAAAGAAGAAATAAGAAACATTTATGAATCTAACATGTTTTGCTTTTATTAAATACATAATACTACACTCTACAAAATTTGAAAATAAATTAGTTGGATTTTTATCATCACTTCCAAGACAATCAGAGATATCATTACAAAGAATTAGAAATTCAATACTACTTTAGATGCTGGAATTTATCAGATAAAGTGCTTTCTATGTAGATACAATTATATTAGCAAGACATCTCGAAAAATAAAAAAAGCCTGCATCTATGAACACAAGAGAGACCGACGTTGGGACAAGCATTTAAACTCACTTATAATACACTAGAACAAAAGTGGCCATAACTTTGATTTCACAAATGCCATCCTAATTAAATAAGAACATAATTCTTTGTCGAAAATACTTCAAGGGAGTCCCAATAAAATTTTTACCAACTTTAAACACATGTCAAAAACACTATATTACATCACTATGCTTTATTAAATCTATTCTTAAAGAATCTAACATTTATTTAACTATCTCAACTGGTGTTGACATAAAAATGTCAACATGTGGACCAACTCCAAACAAATAATACCTACCAGATACAGACACTAATACATATATACATTATAATCAAAATCACATATAGACACACTAAAATTTTGATACTTATACACTTAAATTATATGCATGAATGCTACTTGACAAGTCAAATGCATGTGAAGTCTGCTCAACCAATGGAAAACGACACAAAAATAAAAATACCAGAGAATTTTTTTCCATATCTCATTCTCATGAACCTTTAACAAAAGCAAAATGTGTTAAGATTTATAAACAATTCTTATTTGTTATAATTGTCAGATTCTGATCCATATTTCAACTGTATTTGATCCCAATCCATTCATTCATATATATATATATATATATATATATATATATATATATATATTATGTACAAAGTCTGACAATTATTTTAAGACATTTTTATGTTTATACATTCTTTTTATAGATACAAATATTTAAGTAAATGCTCTGTTTATAATAAACAGTATTAAACAACATATACCAGCCTGAATGTCCGAGAAATTTTCATAGAAAATATTTGTCCTCCGACAGGATTTGAACCTGTATCCTATACAGAACTGTCATTTAGCCTGACATGCGTTAATCGATTTGGCTACAGAGTAGCGTTCAGTTAGCAAAGTCGAATTTACTGTATTTGAACTTCAATCTTCGGTGAATCTCTCACGTACATTCATATCTGCTCAAAGCGCATCCAAATGTAAACAAATGACGTCACACATTATGAAATGGACAAAGTCCGACAATTATTTTGAGAAATTTTCTCAGACATTCAGGCCAGTAAATGTTAATACTGTTTATTATAAACAGAGCATTTACTTAAATGTTTGTATCAATAAAAAGTATGTATAAACATAAAAATGTCATTTTTTATATATATATTTTTAAGGCAAGTTATATTTATTGGATAAAGTGCTCAATATCAGAGATAGAGCATGTGTAAATATAAAATTGGACATTGAAGTCAATACCTAGAGATGATAGTCTGTTTTGTGTTAAACATGATCGTCAGGCCATGTGCATTGTGTTTTTGCTCGACTATTTATATATACAGGTCAGTAATGCATTGTGGGCTGTCTCTTATATTATTCTAACAGTTATTTTGGTGAGCATTAATGGTTTTGAATCCAATACTTTTTCCTTTAATAATTTGAAAACATTACTGCCCACTAAAATAACCATTCGAATAATACAATAGATTATGCAAAATGCATCACTGACCAGTATATATAGTCAAGCAAAAAACAACACAATGGCCTGTTGATTTTGTTAAACATGAAACACACTGTCACCTCTGGGTGTTGACTTCAATGTCCACTTATATATGTGTGTGTGATATGATTTCTTAAAAAAAGAAATATTGATAGAAAGTGGTTTCATTTCAAGACGTGTATGA